GCAGGACCGGCTCTCTGGCACCCCGGTAGCCAGGCCTGACCATTATAAAGAGTGAAGAAGCAATATCTGGAAGAAACATTTCCAGGCAGAGGGAGGAACCAGGCTGGGCTTCTGATTTTTCTTTGATGTGCTCCAAAATAACAAGCAGGTGCCGAGGAACTCTGCCAATTACCGCGGCCCGGTGGCTCTGTCTGAAAAGTTGTTTGTCCTTGGTTCTCTGACACATCGCCATCTCAGTCACCAGCCTCCCCTGCTTTCCTGGGGGAGTGCTTCTGAGGGCCGGGCAGGGAGGCCTTCTTGCCAACCCTTGGTGTCAGATCACGGCACTCGGGCTGTGGCTGATGGACCAAGGATCCAGAAGGCTGCCCCTTCCAGAGAAGGAAGGAACCAACTGTCAGAGAACCGGTGGGCTTCCTGGAGACAGTGGACATGGCAACACTCCTTGCTACTGCAAGGCCCCATGGCTCTGGTGGTCAGGATCTGGGAGGAACTTTATACATATTGTCCAGGTGCTTGGCACCTGGTCCATAAGGACGCCTATGCCCTCGAAACTTGAGGAGCTACCCTGTTCCCCATTTCCGACCCCTGCCAGGGCTCTGTTGAATGTTAATCTCTCTGAGCCTTGGATCAGAGATTAATCTTCAATTGCCAGGGGCAGGTAACTGACCAGAGGTGGGGGTGCAGGGGGCCAAGGAGAAGCACCCCCACTGAGGTTCTTCTCCACTTCTCCACCCTGTTGGGATCTGGGATTTGTGGCATGTACACACATGCACCCAGGGTGTTTTCAGGCTGCCAGGGTCAGGATTCAAGCTGCAGTTGGCCACGTGGGATCTGGCTCCCTTCTCCACGAGGCTAAAGCACCAGCCTGGACTCCCCATCTTTAAAATGAACCTATTTCTTGCATTGCACACCTGACAGGCTAGTGATGAGGCCCAAACAAAGCAAGACCCATTAAATCCCTCTCTAAAGGCATGTAAGAGTCATCACCACCATTGTCACCATCAGCGTCATCACCATCCAACGCTGTTATAAAACTGAAGGGGAGGTCTTGGGGCAAGAGCCCAACCTCAAACACCTGAAAATGCTTCTAAGAGTCTCAAGTCATTGAGATGGAAACACAAGAAAGTTTGGTTTTAATGATCACTATCTCCCTATAAGGGAGACAGGCCTATCTGCTCTGCCTGCTTTAAAACATGCTCATCGGATCGCCTTTCCCCACCCTTTCGTGTTGTCCTCACCTGAGTCCACATTTTTCTATTCATGTTCAATTGTTTAAACTTGGTCTGGTCTAGTTAGAACTCCAGTTTCCTCCCGGTTCAAAGCTCTCTCCCTGTCCTCACCACAAATTGGGGTCTTAGTTCCCCAGCTAGGCCTAGGAGAAGGGGGATGGGCTGACTCTGAGACTCCTCCTCCCAGGGCGGGGGAGGAGCAGAAACAGGCAGAGACCCTTTCCTTACCCATCTGGCCACCGAGGGTTCTGGCTGCCGCTTGGCGGGGAGAGAGGCTGTGCACAGGGCAGCGAATGGAGCTGCCCTCGGTTCATGCCGCCTCCTGAAACGAGGAAGCTGGAGCAGGAGGCATCTTGCTGTAGCCCCTCCTTCAAATGCCCTGCACCCAGCCCAGGAGCCTCAGCCATGACAAGGGCTGCAGAGAACTGCAGTCGCCACCTCCCTTCTAGACCCAGGCCAGGACAGCCTGGGCTGCTTCCTTAGGCCTTCAGACCCTTAAAGCCAGAAAAGCGCCAGGCTGTCTTCACCTGGGGCCCAGCCTCGCCCAGAACCAGGTGGGCTCACAGTGCCCCCTACTGCAGGCAGCCCCCACAAGTCCCCAGAGTGGTTTCTGGAGGTCTTCCCTGACAGACTTGATTCAGAGGAGTTGTGACTGCTGCTCCCCAAAGGCTAAGGCTCCTCCTCCTCTCCCCTACCCAGGCTTCCCCTGCCCCTTATAGTCCATGGCCTTGGTCGGAGGGAGGGCAGCTGGGTGAGCCCAGCAGACAGGATTCACCTGTCCTGTGTTTCCAGGTCTGGCCTCAGTGCCTTTATTTCAGAGCAACAAGAAAAAAATCCCTCCTAATATCCTGTGTTGTAACACCTACCTTTTTCATTTTTTCTTTTCTTTTTAAAAATTTTTTCTTTTTTAAAATTTGCTACAGGGCATGTGTGCTAGCCAGAAAGAGACAGAAAAGGAAAGTGAGAAAGCACTCCCTGTGGGGGAGGGCCACTCTGAAATCCCTTCTCCTCCTTTTCTCCCTCCTTTAGGGATTTTGGGCATGCGCACACACATGCGCCCAGCCTGTTTTTCAAGTCGCAGGTCCGAGACTCAGACCGTGCAGTTTGCCGTGTGGGATTCAGCCGCCTTAACCACCATGCCACCGGCTGGCCCAGTACTGCCTGCCTTTAATTCTGCACTCACGGTGCTGGTACTCCCCTGGCTGACCCCTTGACCACAGTAGTTTTGGCCTTTATGCTGACTTCATGAGACTAGTATTATTAGTGCCTCTATTTTAACAGAGTTTCAAAGAGGTTAAACAGCTTCCCCAAGGCCTCACACCCAGAAAGTGAGTCTTGAACCCGCATCAGTCTGACTCCAGGGCAGGGCCTTGTAACTCCTAAATGCGTCTTCTACAGAACTCCAGTGGAAGACAGGACAGGGGTCTCACCTGGGCTCGTCAGTCCTCCACGTGCCTGGGAGAGGCCGGGATGGGCCTTCCGGAAGTAGACTCCAACCAGGCAGTTAAAATGGAAGAGGCAGGGCCCGGGTCCCATGGTGCAGCTGGTAGAGTGCCAGGCTGCACCGCTGGAAGCCACACACTGACCATGCGTCCAGTCTCCAGCCTGGCTGGCCTGAAAGATGTGCGTGTGCCCAGGATCCTGGTGGGCCGGAGGGTCGGAGACGAGCTCTCTCAACTCTCAGGTGTGGGGCAGGAGCCTGGATGACTCTGTCAGAGCTGGCAAGGTTGATGCTGGTTCTTAGAGGGCTGTACAGAACAGTGGCTAAGAGCTTGTGTTCTGGGGCCAGCCAGGTGACATGGAGGTTAAGCGACTGGATCCCACATGGACAACTTCATGGTCTGAGTTCCAGATCCAACAGCTTAAAAATTGTACTGGGTGCATGTGCGTGTGTGCCCAAAATCCCAAGGGGAGAATGGAAGAGAAGGGACCGTGGCATGGCCAACCCCCCGGGGGGGGGGATTTCTTTCTCTTCTCTCTCTAGCAAGTGGCTTGTGACCTACAACAAATTTTAAAAAGAGAGACAAGTTGTGACCTACAACAAATTTTAAAAAGAGAGAGAGCTGGAGGCAGCATCTGTCTTAGCCTTCCCCTTAGCCTCTCTTTGGGGGTAGCCCCTTTATGGGCCAAAAGTCACCCTAGAGGAGGGATGCTGCCCAGAAAATTTCTGGCCAAACTAACCCCCCTGGTCACTGGCTCCGTGAAGGGGAGCATACCTAAGAGGGAAATACCCACATTCTCAATGTTCAGAATGGGAATACTGAGGCACAGACAGGTCACAACATTGTCCTAAGGTCACACAGCTTCTTCTGAGAATTAGACCCAAGCAGCCCGATTCTAGAGCCCCTGCTCTTAATCACTTGGCTATCTTGTCCCCCTAGAGACAGGGCAAGAAATCCAGTGGCTTTGGTGAATTTCTGAGCCCAGGACTCTCTTGTGGCAGTAGGGAATGGGGCCTCTAGGTCTTTATGACTCCTCTCCCCTACTCTAGTTGTCTAAGTGACTAAACACATGTGGGGGGAGGGCTGTGGGTTGGAACCTGCATTCTGTAGTGCCCCTTTGAGGTTCACTCTGGGTTTGCCCCTCCCCTTGGGGCCAGCCAACCCACCAACAACAACCCCCATCTCCCCCTGGGTTCTCTCTCCCCTGTCGACCTCTTTTTGATTCGCACTTACCTCCTTCCCTTTCGCTCTCCCTGGAAGGCGGTTGAGCTAACACTCATTAGCACATGTTAATGAACATCAATTCACGTCTCAGTCACTCTGTGGTGCGAGAGGGGAGAAAGGAGCGAGGTGCTGTCACTCCAATGGTAATGTGTCCACAGGGCCAGGAGTGACCCCTGGGGCCCAGCCAAAGAAGGAATGGGGAGGGAGCCCTGTTCCCTGCTTGGGGAGGCCTGTCTGCTGGCCTCGGGATGTACCCTCGGTAGCTGCTTGTCTTAACTAACCCTAACCGGAGCTCAGAACTCCCGGGATCAGAGTTAAACACTCCCTGCTCACTGGAGAAATCCAATTCCCACCATGCCCCGGGTGTGGACAAATGTCTAACAGTCCCTGCAGCGTGTCCAGGGTGAGGCAGGTACCAGGGGATGCAGCGAGGTACCTGGGGAGGGTCATAGCAAGAACCAAAGAGACGGTGGAAGCCCCTCCCCTGTTCCCATTGGAATCCTCCCAGGGTGGCGCTGATTCCAGTAAAGCCTTGCGGATTCTGGACTTCTCCGCAAGACTGGGCCCCACCGAGGGGCCACGCGGAGCGAGGAAAGCGTGTTAGGTTCAAAT